TATGAGTCCTACAGTCTTGAGGGCAGTGACATGAATGAGGAATACATCATACCTTTGAATTGTCTAGCTATTAATTTAAGAAGATCAGGTTCAATAAGCCAAGAGATGCTAGTATTTGCTGGATGTTTATTACCTGCAAAAGCCTTTTCATCTGTACTTGATGTGAATCATCTGTTTCTGGGCATGACATTAGAACAACTGGGTGAGGATAACTCCTCTCCTGCTAGAGGAGTTGGAAACAAAGCACAAACTGGGTACTTTCAAGAGAGCTAACTAAAGGAACTCTTCCGCAAGATGTGGGCAGGATGTGGAATCTACCTGAGCCTGTAGGACAGGACGAAGGAAGGAAACCGTGCCTGTCTCTAGCTGAGAGAGGAGGAAAGAGAGAGCTGTGTGGAAGGAGTCACCTGAAAGGAGCTGGGTGATAGAGGAAGATCATGCAAGAGGGCCAGGCACCTAAGGCACTGGGCAGGGCTCTCCACCGGAGAGCACTTGCTGTGGGAGGACAGGAGGAGACCTGAGCTGGGTGGGCACTTCTGGGACCAGGGTGTGATGGCTGAGCCAGTGAGGTGAGATGCCACCTTCTCTGTGACACCTCGAAATCTTTAGTAAAATTACAAAGACCACGAGATAACTGACAAGCGTATTTTCCCCCTCAGTGAAAAACTAATCTAGAGTTAGCTTTTCTTGGCTTGAGTAGAGAAATAAGAAGAGATATGACAAAGAGAAAAAGAATATCAGAAATGCACAGAAAAGCCGTGAAGGAGGCACTATTTTTTCCTGACCCCTGCAAAATCCAAGGGAGTGGGGGCAGGGGAGGGGGTGAGTCTGAGCAATATCCAAGGGCACCTAGACATAGATATACAGAAATAAATAACCTGTATTTTCAAATGGTTCTCTGCTGCTTCTTTAATGACAGCAAATTTTAAAAATATGTACCATTATTTCTCATTCAGTGCTGTTCGTTTTTTCTGTTGTTCAGTTACTCTTACAACAGTGGCTATTATTTAGTTATTATTGTTTAATTTGAATTACAATAACAGAGCAGTACCACAGCAATATTGTAGATTAATATGCTTTGTTATTTGGGAATTTCAGCCATCACTTTCATACTTCCTGCTGCAGTGCGCACCTTGATTTCAAATAACAGGCATTAAAACAAATGTGTGCAAAGTGCTCATATGTCAGCTCAGTGTTCTTGGTCTTAATTGCTGAGTGCACTAACGAATTGCCAGGAGGAGCTAGGAGCAATGAGCTTCTTTTATCAGGAAAAAAGAAATTTGGAGAGGTAGAGACATTGGAGTAGTGCTGATCAAGGGAGAAATGTATTCTGTTAAAGGAAGAAAGCCTTCATATTAGCCTACATATGTTTTGTGAGGAATTTTTTAAAAATATGTTTTCCAGCAGGGCACAGAAACTAGACAAGGAGAAACGAAATGAAGAATATTCCCAATCAGGTGACCAACCACATTGAAATAAGCCAAGTTCATGGTTGAAGTTAGTCCACATGAAGAGACATTCCAGTTAAATTCATGATACCGGCACCTCTCCCAGTTGCTCTAGTGTCCGAGCCCCTTCTAATCTTAAAGTGCTTGTCATCAGTGAGGCCACATGTAAATGAAGTCCGTAAGGAGTACTTGGGAGAAAGCGTCACTACACAGGGCAGGTCTGGGAGGCAGTGGCCAGGGAGGGGGATGTGGTGAAGGATGAGACCAGGAGTGAAGATGCTGCTCTGTGATCCATACTGAATGGTGCTTGTTTTGCATGGCACCTTCTCTCACCCTTCATTGTGCACATGTACCGCCTGGGGGGCTTGTTAAAATGCAGCCTCTAGTTTGGTAGATCTGGGACCGAACCTGGGATCCTATCATTCTAAAATTCCCCAAGCGATGTCTACCTTGCTGGCCACATAATAGAACCCTTGTCTCTCATTCACCAGCGTGAATGAACTGCGTGTTCATGAGTCGCATCTGCCAGGTGGACTTGGTGCTGGCAAGTAACCCCAGAAATGGGAACCGGTAGCGCTCCTGTTCACTTTGGTGACTCGGCTCGACTAGTCTTCTCATCACTTGCTCCCATGACCAGTTTGTCTACCTTTGCTTTTATTAAGCCTATTCAAATGGGCTAAGACAGCGGTTCTCAACCTATGGGTCATGACCCTTTTGGGGGTCGAACAACCCTTTCACAGGGGTCGCCCAATTCATAACAGTAGCAAAATGACAGTTATGAAGCAGCAACAAAAATAATTTTATGGTTGGGGGGTCACCACAGCATGAGGAACCGTATTAAAGGGCTGTGGCCTTAGGAAGGTTGAGAACCACTGGGCTAGGAGAAGAAGAAGCAGCAGTCTAGTGGAAGATCATTTATTAAGTAAACATTGACTTTACCTAATTATAAAGAAGGCAATAGAGTATGATGTTTTCAAGAGTATAACGATTTATCAAAACTTCCAATCTTAAAAATATTGTGATATAGAATCTGCTCCACGGGAGAAAGATAGGGCTGTCTCAGATAGATGCCGTCTCAGAACTGCACAGAGGCAGTTCCAGAGCATGGCTGTGAGTTGGAATTGACAATAAGTTGGAATAGCAATGAGTTTGAGTGAATTATCTAATGGTACCATAAAGGAAACATATCACAGTTGGATGGTTTTTAATAACTAGAAGTTTATTTTCACCCAGGTTAGGAAGCTAGGATTGCTGGCTCTTTTTTTTTTTAACATTTTATTGGGGGCTCATATAACTCTAATCACAATCCATACATACATCCATTGTGTCAAGCACATTTGTACATTTGTTGCCATCATCATTCTCAAAACATTTTCTTTCCACTTAAGCCCTTGGCATTAGCTCCTCATTTTTCCCCTCCCTTCCTGCCCCATCCTCCCTCATGAACCCTTGATAATTTATAAATTTTTTTTTTGTCGTGTCTTACACTATCTGACATCCCCCTTCACCCACTTTGAGGAGTGCTGGCTCTTAAAGACACTGTCAGCTCTGAAGGAAGCTCCTTGGTCTATTCAACTTTTTCCTGGTTTCTGGCTTGGCACTTGTGTTCCCCATCTCAGCCCTGCTCACTTGCTTAATCCCTTTTGTATTTCAAAAGCTATGGATGCAAAGTATGCCCTATATTAATCCTGTCTCATGAACACAACAAAGACAACGACTTTTCAAAAGGAACCAAACCACAGGCCTGGGTTAGGATTTGCAACTTATATTGTTTGTCAATCATAGCAATAACTGTTGCTCTGAACTTTTCTAGGCCACATTGTTTGCAGTTGTGGCCTCAGTCATTATTGATCACCACATTGGAGCAGAGGGAAAGCTATTTTCTGAGGAAACTTTTGGTATTATCTCTAGATATGCCTATTGTCCACCTTTCTGAAAGTTGGTTGGCCATTATTTCAAGCATTTTTCTTGGTAAGAGAACTCTCCCCCTACCCCCTCTCTCTCTTTTTCAGTAATCAGTTAAGAATCTTCACTTCAGGTGCTTGACAAAGAAAATACATTCCAGCCTCTGAGGTATAGCTCCCCAATAAATAATTCATTATTAAAATTAGTATTCATGAAGCAATGCCTGAGCACCTATGAGTGTAAGTCCAAAAGTATTGTTCTAGGAATTCCAGCTCATACTCGAAATATTTTATTCCAAATAAAATGTGTTTAAACATGTCTCTGCAATCAATGGATAGCTGCAGATAAGTTCACTCAATAATATACTTGTCTTGGTCTCATGAGGATGTTGGGAGGGGTGCAGTTAAAACAGTGGCTCCCCAGGGAGTCTGCTGAGTCGTTAAATTCAAGGCAGAGACGTCTTGAGAAATGATGACAACTGTTGGTGATGGTGGGGAATTCAACCTGGTGATTTTTGAGATCTTCTTCAGGACCACGGGATGCCAAAGAGGACTTAGTGTGAAGTTCTAAGAAAGGAGAAAGTTGCATTGCTGAGGAAAAAAAGGCAGGAAAATTACACAAGGCGTGTTTTCCCATGACAACAATGTATCTGCTCATTTCTCCAGGGCAGCAAGGGCTACCCTAGGAGAGTCTCCTTGGGAAGACTTACTCCATTCACTGGATATTGAATCCACAAACTGTTGTTGTTGTTCCTCAAACCAAAGGACATTTAAGAGGAAGACGACGTGAGCTCCTCAACGCGGGTGTTCTACAGAGGTGCGCAGTGAAGAGTGCAGGATCCATCAGGGGAATGTTGCAGACACGGAAACATTGCCGTCAAACACACGTAGAACTAGATGACTCATGTCAAGAAAGTGTCACATAGTGATCATTTTAATAGCGTTGTTATAATTTTATAGTAATGCCTTTTTACTTACCATGTTCTCCACTTATTCTAAATGTTTTATTTGGAACAAGTCAGGCAATAACAATAAAAATAGCCACCCATTGGGTGTTTACTCTACGTCACAGTGCTGAGACATTTACCTAATTGCTCACAGCAATGCCATGGGCAGCTATTAATCATCCTCATCTCTCAGATGAACCACACAAAGGAACTTGTCTGGCGTCTTTCAGGTCACAAGAAGCCTAGTTTTTATCTGAGTCTGTCTAATTTCAAGGCGCTCTCACAGTGCAGTGGTTAAGCACTTGGGTGCTAACCGAAAAGTCAGTGGTTCAAACTCACGACGCTCTCTGAGGGAGCAAAATGTGTCCACTTCCATTAAAGATTCCAGAAACCAAAACAAAGTAAACCTACCTCATAGGGTTTTCAATGTTGTAATATATAAGGAAGCGGACTGCCACATCCCTCTCCTGCGTATTAGCTGGTGGGTTCACACACTGACCTTTTGGTTAGGAACCAAACATTCAACCCATGCACAACCGGGGTGCCTTCCATAAAGGTTCCATCGTCGGAATCCCTATAGGGCAGTTCTACTTTGACCAATTGAGTCACGATCGCCTGAATCAATCTATGGCACAAGTTTGAACTGATTTCAAAGAGTTCTTTATCACCACAATAGTATCCTTCCTTTGGTGGCACATACAGTGCTTGCTTCGGCGGTACATATACTAAAATTGGAAAGATACAGAGACGATTAGCATGGCCCCGGTGCAAGAAGGACACACAAATTTGTGAAACGTTCCATGTTTTTTGTTTGCATTCTAGTTCTTTTTTCTTTTTCTTTTTTTGGCTTTGGAATGTGACAGCCTTTTTTTATCATTTCTTTGATGTGAAAAGCATCATTGTTTACCAGTTAAATTGAGATGGACATTATTTCCCCAATTCTACAACAGGATTCACAATGTTAATTTATAAATCTAGACCTGGAGAATTGTGGACTGAGAAATGACCATACCTTAAACTGTCTACAACAAAATGAACTGAAAAGGAGATTCCCAACTGAATTCAGGGCCTTTGAGTAAAAAAAAAAAAAAAATCCTATGCTGCACATTTTGTTTTAAGCATTACTGTTTCTGCCTATTAATGTTAGAAACACAAATAATGCAATTTGTGCAATTGGGGAATCCTGCCTTTTTCTCCTTGATTCCCCCCCAAAATACAAACCAAGAGAAACTTGTGACGCACTCATGCAAATGCACTCCTGGGTTCTCTGAGCTCGCTAATCCTGACATCTGCAACAGGAGGCAACAGGGGGAAAGTGCATCTTTTTCAGTAAAGAACTGTTGGTGAGATGATGAGGGCATTTTATGTGCTTGCTGTGACCAGCGTGTGTGCTCATAAACCTTAACAAGGCTACAAGTATATCCCAGAAGGAAACCATTTAGTTGTGAACTTAATAACACACTTCAGAACTTTGAAACCTTGGTCCTAAATATTAAACCAGGTTTAGTAGCTCCATATCTAAGATTTTTCACGGGCCCCTCTTCAGTACAGGGATGGCTGACTACTCAACACCCTCCTCCTGCCCCGTTCCTTTCTTTGTGCTGTGTACAGTGAAATTGTCTTTACTGTATGTGTGTTCTCTGGTAATGTGATAAGCATCATGGTGTCTTCTATTAATACATCATTTCAGTCTTGCTGGTAATTTTGTACAGTATAATGTATGAATTGCAGTGCTGCGAAGCCGAACAGCTGCAGAATGTTGAAAAATTATTGTATAAAAATTGCAGTATCTTTAAAATCAGTAAAATTGACTAGCATTTTAAAAAAATAGTATCCTTCCCAACACTTGTCTGACAGTTTGTCATACTCTGGTGGCTTGCAGGGTGCTGTGGTGCTGGAATATATGCCTCTGGTATTTCAAACCCAGACAGATTTCAGGTCCAGACTGACTCAGAAATAGGGCCTGATAACCTACTATTGAAAAGAGGGGCCAGTGAAAGCCCCACATTGTTCTCTTAAATCAGTCATCACAAAATACGATGTTTGAGCGAAATTGCTTTTATGAAAGAATTCACTGTGACCAGAGAGAACCTTCCCAGGTGATGCCACTGGGTACACTAACTCAGACTGACTTGCTCCATGATTACCTGGAGGGAAAAATATAAACTAGGAAAGCTCTGTCCAGCAGAGCTTTTGTCAAGCTTTTGGGGGGGTTGCCTCTTATAAAACATGACTTCTTATTTTACTAATTAAATGTATTTGGCCCCACCCCCACAAATACACCTAAGGATCATATGGACAACTTGTTCTCTTATACTATATACATAATAGATTTTTAATATTATTAAACATATATTATTGGATATTGTCAGCTTGGACAATTTAAAGCATGCAGCATCGTTTAACATTTTATCAATGTGAATTAATCCTCAAGGAGCCCTGGTGGCACAGTGGGTTTTGCGCTGAGCTGCTAAGCACAAGACCAGCAGCTGGAAACCAACAGTCGAGCCTAGGGAGAAAAACGAGGCTTTCTACTCTCATAAGGATTTACACTCTCAGATACCCACAGGGGCAATTCTACCTGTTCCTCATAGGGTTGCTATGAGTCGAAATCAATTCTATGGCAGTGAGTGAGGTTATAGGCCTGAGAATGGGCATGAGTTATACTTTATATAATTCTTTCTACAAAATGAACATGAAATGCAATAGCAGATACCAGAAAAGCAAACCAGAGTAACCTGTTGTGACTATAAGGCTATCCTATGGAAATGCGAACAGATTGCGAATCAGTCAACATTACTTGTAACAGACATGTCGAATCCAGTTTTGTTATCATAACAGAGTTTCTCTCACTTACTGTGTGCGCTGAACCCCTTCGAGAAGGTGAATTAATTATTAAGCAGTGTCTGTGAAGCTACTTAAGTCAGCCTTTCCTTTCCACCTCAAAAGCCATGAGGCGTGTAAGTGCCTTCACAGTGGGATATGCAATTAAAACTTCCATTGATCTGAATTATTGACCGTACTCTAAATGAGGTCAGGATTTACCTCCCCAGCTAACTTTTTCCCCAACTACAAACGGAGAGAATACATGTTTAAAACCTATTGCTTTTAAACTTGTAAAATATATACTTTAACCCTTTTTTTAGAATAACAAAAAATATTTTACTAAACCATGAGATTTACCCACGTGTCCAGACAGGCCATACAAAACGGTCACAAGCTTTTTCTTAAGGAAGGTGTCTCGCTTGACAACAAAGTCACAGTGTATTAGTGAGGGTGGTGAGGTTGGTTTAATGTCCCCATTTTGGTTCCCACAGTCAAGCACCTCCTACAGTAACTAAATAAAGTTAGTCTTGGCCAGAGAGCATATTCTGAAGAACAACTGGCTAGTTCCTTTTAACCAATGCAATGAGATCGCCTTAAAAACGGGGAAGGGAACCCATAAAACTAAAACTATCTCCCCCACCTCAAAAAGTAAAATAAAATCAACATTCACACCCCTGACAACTACTTTCATTCATGGTGCTTCCTACTTAGAGCATGATGGGGGAGAAATGAATAAAAGAGGAGGGGGCACTGCTTTTAAACATCTAGCAACAATCCAGATGACACTTCTAGCCTCTGCTCATGCTTTACAACAGTGAATCAGGACAAGAGAGATTTGCAAATGTGCATTGATTCACCAAAGGACTGAAGATGCCTAGGCTTTTATTCTGTAATGTTTCTAAGGCTGGGTCCAGTCAATACAAACTGAAAACTGAAGAAGTCTTGGCAGAACCGAAGTGATGCTTGATCGGATCGACTTAAATATTAATTCATGGCATGCTCCAGCTGTTTCCAGGCTTGGGCTTCGTTGGTCTTCCACTGCTCGGCTCAGTCATTTGCTAGTGGGTCACCTGTTAAGTGGGAGCACTTAACAAAGCCGGGATCCATAGCAGAACTGTATGGATCTGCAGTGCTGGGGACAACTTATCTTTCAAACGAGCTAACCATATTTTTCCCAACTTGTCTCTATAACATGATAAATTTTGGTCATGAAATGTACTTTAGGAGCCAATATTGGGTATTCTTCTGGAAAGTTCATGGTTAAAAGTCCTTCCCTTAAAGCTGTAATCCTGGGGCCCAGCAAGGACCTCATGAAAACAACAGGAGTTCCTCTCCTCTGAGTCTGCTTTAATGCCGGGAACTGGTTCTGCCAGCAAATGCTGGGTTTCCTTGATAAACCTGCAGGGCGGCCTGGCCATCTTTTCAGATCCTCTCGGCTTGTGGGAGTCTACTATAACACTTTTTACCACGGTAACTGTTAGCCCCAGTGCTATGAATAGAGATCACTCTAATAAAGACACCTTGCTTGATTTTTCATCGTTTTCAAAGAATATTGTTCTTTAATTATGCCAAAGTAAAAACAACGTCCCTAAAATGGCATTGAGTCGCACTTTAGACCTAAAACCAGGCCAAACAATAATAATAATAAGTTAATGTTAAAATTGCGGATGCAGGTATTTCAAATCAGAGTACACATGAGTTAACTCGATCTGAGATCGCACGATGCAGTGGCTTTAGAACTAGATACACTGCATCCTTATGTAAGAAAATGCTCATAAGAAAACATGATTTTACATGTTTTTTTCCGCTGAAGACAACCCTTTCCCAAAGTTATCAAATATGAATTTATGATCCTATATAGATTCCACTCGAGGTAGATTTTTAAAAATTGAATCATGGGTATGATTATTTCTGATCAATAATGATGACAAATGACAAGTAAGAGAATTACGATCATCACAGGTAAGGCATGTGCCATTTAGGGCATTTTCTGCTGGGGGTTCCTCCAGATCCATCAGAAACTGGCTTAAACAGTAAAGGAGGTCGATTGGCTCAGGCACAAGTAGCTTCAAAGTGTCCATTCCATTGCCTATGTGGCCTTTGTCTTTACATAGACTGTTCTCGTGTACAAAAAATGGCTCTCCCACTGTAGGCTGCACACGCGTACAACAGAATCTATAGGAAGAGAACATATCAGTAGGTCAGACTAAAACCAAGAAAACCTCCAACTAAAACTGCTCTTACATTTCATCTGTTTAAGCCACATGCCCACTCTAGAGCCCGTCCTTAGGGTCAGGGAAGCATCACAGTGATTGACTGAGGCCTGGGTTGCTTATGCCCATCACTGTGATCAGTGGATAGGACTGCCCTACATACTTTCAGCCGATCACACTTATCACTGAACGAGGCAGAGGTGGGCATCCCAACCCACACCACAAGCCTGTCCAGGAGGAGCAGAATGGATGGCAGAAAGTCAGGAAGGCCGACTTCATTTTCCAAATTTCGTTAGGAATATCTCTTTGTTTTGTTTTGTCTTCTTTCCTACTTATTTACAGAACAGGGTGCATGATGTGAAGTTCCAGCATGCAAAAAAAAAAAAAGCAACAAAAAGAACCTCTTTGAAAATGTGTTACAGATAAAACGTACTATTGTAGAGTTGATTCTGATTCAGAGCAGCTCTATTGGATAGAGTTGAACTGCCCATCGTGTTTGAAGGCTGTAATCGTTTCAGAAGCAGGCTGCCACATTTTTCCTCCCACAAAGCGGCTGGTGGGTTTGACACCACTGGCTTTCTGTTTTCAGCTGAGCACGTAACCAACGCAGCACCAGGGCTTGTTTTGTTATACGGAGGAGTCTGAAATTAAATTTATTCCTCAAGGTCAACTATCAAGGTCATGAAGAACAAGGACCGTTTGGGAAACTACTGCAGTCCCCAGGAACCCACGGACACATGTTGATGAAGTACTTAACTGCTCAATGAAA